GGCGCCCGGTATTTTTGATAATAGCGGTCATCAGCGGCTTCTGAGCCGCTGATGACAGCTATTAATTTAAAGGGGACAGTCTGCTGAACAGTTATACTATAAGCTGATGGTCGCTAAAGCGACCATCAGCTTATAGTAGAACTGTAAATGCCAGGTCCGTATGGCATACTGACCTGGCCAGCTGGAAGCACTTTTGTAGGTCCGTATGCCATACGTCCTTGGCAGCGAAAGGGTTAAGCCATGTATTATAGCTGGTTATTATACTGCCATCTTGTTTGCATTTTGGTTATTGCACCATGTTTTTCTGTGTTCCCTCCCATCTATGATGCATTCCCCCCTTCTTCAAGAACTAGTGATAGTGTCATGGCTGCCTTTAGCAGGGCCACATGTACATGTTAGGTTTGAAAACATTATCATCCTTGACCTTCAAATACCATCTATTCATTCATCTGCTGTATCCTGTTGTCTGCTGTAACCTACTGTAAACAATAAAGCTCTTCGTGGATGGAATTTAGTATTTGGCGAGTTCAGCTATCTGATAAGGATTGTTTGCAGTGATTATATCTGCTTATACAGGCCAGGCATAGAGGTCTCAGCAAGGGATAAATCACTAATACAAGAATCAGAGTCAGAATAGCCAGGGTCAGAGAGGAGGCTGAGCATGTCCGTGGATTTGGGTAAGGATAATAAATGTTTTTCTCTTAATGGCAGGTGGGGCTCTGCCTCACTGGTTTGGGGCGGTGCTTCTTGTTGCCCCCCTGGAAAGTGCCACCCAAGGCAAATGCCTTGTTTGCCTTGCGGTAGAAATGCCTCTGTTTTTGCAGTCCCTGTTTAGCAGAGCTGATGTGTGAGAGAAGGAGGCAGAAAAAGAAGCCAATCGGATCATCACAAGAAGCATGTTGATAGGAGGGGAAAGCAAATTGGCAGACACATGAGCTCATCACAGTGCAGCTTCTCCTTTCACTATCTGGTCACAGGCTGTGATGACCTAGGCTCACAGGAAGTGGGTTGTATGATGCTGGCTATTGCGCTGAGAACATCTAGCAAGAGAAAAAAGTATGGTGAGGGAAATCTCTGGACTGAAGCTGAATATTGCAGCAAAAGTTTGTTTTGTTTTTAATGGGCTGTTCATTTTTAACTAGTTATTTTTTTTCTGAAGTTCTGCTTTACTTTAAAAGAATAAATAGTAATACTAAACATAATTACTAGTAGGAAATGTATACAATTAATGTTGTAGTCTTAATCTCAATGTTGGATCTCTAATTTATTTTCATTTGTGGAGAATGCAACAGAGGTGAGACTGCTGTTGAAGCAGAAGGGGAAGGACATTTGCAAGGAAATCGAGGAAGCAGAATCTGGCCATAGTCTATGGAAGACATAAGTGTAAGATTCAGCCTTGTAGTGTCTACCTATAGCTGATATTCATTTTGGGTTAACTGTTCCTTTGATGAAATGAATTAAAGTGAAACTAAATTCATTTTACATTTAATATAAAAGTGCATGGAAAAAAAGGTCATAAATCTATTTGGAAAGGACAGGAAAATATTGCTTCTATAGTTAAAGTCTCATTACGCTCGAGTCTTCCATGTGAACCAGGTGCTAATGTCTGTCTGTGGTTTACATGCATTTACTGTTGAAATGAGCCGGGCTAATTGGAGAATCCACTGCTGCCAGCAGGACAAGCAACTGTTTCATACCGGAAAGCAAAATAAAGAAAACCATGCTGAGAGAAATATGTAAGTTGCCATATCCTTCTATTTTGTTGCTGTTATCCTGATCTAACTTAAACTATAGGCAGATATAAAAGGGAAGAATTAATGTAGCTGAGCGTCTCTGGTTCAAATCCGGGTCAGGACAGTATCTGCAAATGAATATTCCCTTGACGGGATGGAGGGAACACAAATCCTTTTCAATTGCAATAGCAGGCTGGCTATTGAAACCCCACCTACTAAGCAGAGGAGCGGACCTGAGAGAGAAAGTTCTCTTTCAGGTCCGCTCCTCTGATCAGTGGGCATGGCACAATAGCCAGCCTGCTATTGGCTATTGCAATTTGCAATAGCCAATAGCAGGCTGGCTATTGCTCCCCATTGTTTACATTCTGCTGCCGACCACAGAATCTAGCTGCCGGGCGGCAGCAAGATGTAAACAAAATAATTTTTTGTGTACTGTGCACCAAGTAACCGGCAATATTTTAGCGTGCATTAGGCCAAAGGCGAAAAAATTTGAGAACATATTATGTCCTCGATTCTTTTTTTGCCGGTTGCTTGAATGCCGAATAATGGGGAGTTTACTGTACAAAGTTTTGACTGAAATTGGGCTTTAAGATGTTCCTTGAAATTTTATCCTAAGAGAAGATGGGGTTGAAGGTCTGGATATGGATCTCCAACCAATAGAAGTCATTGATATCGTAGAATGGCTTGTGTTTGATAGCTTCCCACAAAACAGAAACACTTTGAGAAAATGGAGGCACCCGGAATTGAGAAGTCAATGTGTGATTCAACTTGAAAAAGCACCAAACAAACATTCTTAGAGCTCTAAACACAATGAGGATTTGGTTTTGCAAAGTGACAACAGAAAAAACCCCACAAGACAGGCTTTGTGTTTCAGTGGCCCAAAAATTCCTCTTCATCAGTGCTTTAACATTCAGTAGGTGCACCATTCATTTAACATTCAGTAGATACACCAATTAATATAACATTCAGTAGGTACCCCATTCATTCAACATTCAGTAGGTGCATCCATTCATTCAACATTCAGTAGGTACACCCATTCATTCAACATTCAGTAGGTGCACCCACTCATTTAACATTCAATAGGTGTACCATTCATTTTACATTCAGTAGGTGCACCACTAATTCTACATTCAGTAGGTGCATCATTCATTCAACATTCAGTAGGGGCACCTTTCATTTAACATTCATTAGGTGCACCATTAATTCTACATTCAGTAGGTGCAACAATTAGTCAACATTCAGTAGATGTACCACTGATTCTACATTCAGTAGGTGCACCATTCATTTGCCATTCATTAGGTGCACCCATTCATTGACCATTCAATAGGTGCACCATTCATTTACCATTCAATAGGTGCACCATTCATTTACCATTCAATAGGTGCACCATTCATTTACCATTCAGTAGGTGTACCGTTTCATTCAACATTCAGTAGATGCACCTTTTATTCAACATTCAGTAGGGGCACCATTCATTTAACATTCATCAAGTGCTGCTGACACCAGCTTCTACTGACAAATGTAGATTGATTTACCCAGAATATTTACTAGGGATTCACAGATACCAATACTAGTATCAGTATCAGTGCCAATACCGAGTATTTGGACGCGTACGTGTACTCGGCCAAATGCTTTAAAACGTACCCCCGATACCAGAACTTCCGGTCAGAGGGCTGGCAGTGCCGAAGGAGCATGGAGCTAGCTTCCTTTCTGATCAGGAAGTCAGGCAGGGGGCTATGACCTGCCTCCCAGCTTTCGGATTGGCTAGGAAGCCAGCTTCACTTGTTGCTAGGCAGCCTGGCTTCCTAACCAATCAGGAAGCCGGGTGACACGTAATGACCACCCTCCCTCATCGGTCTGGAAGCCAAGCTGCCTAGGAACAAGTGAAGCCAGCTTCCTAGCCAATCAGGAAGTCTGGAGGCGGGTCATGACGTGACACCCAGCTTCCTGATTGGCTAGAAAGCCAGCTTCAGTTGTTGGTAGGTAGCCTGGCTTCCTAACCAATCAGGAAGTCGGGCGGCATGTCATGACGGGCCTCCTGGCTTCCTAATTGGTCAGGAAGCCAGGCTGCCAAGCAACAAGTGAAGCTGGCTTCCTAGCCAATCAGTAAGCCAGGAGGCGGGTTATGACGTACCGCCCGGCTTCCTGATTGGCTAGGGAGCCAGCTTCTCTTGTTGCTAGGCAGCCTGGCTGCCTGATTGGTCAGAAAGCCAGTCAGTCTTGGCAAGTGACGCCGGTGATCTTTCGATAGAACACTGGTCTCCCAGGCAATCAGGAAGCCGGGCGACGAGTCATAATGCGCTGCTCAACTTCCTCATTATCGGGGCACAAGCCACCGGTACTCGGCATCGGCGAGTACCGAAAAAAATATATCGGTACTCGTACTTGATACCGAAAAACGGTATTGGTGCATCCCTAATTTCTACTCTAGGAAACTACCTGACATTTTACTTGGCATTTAGTTTACCCCTGATGGGAAATTGTTGGCCACCCGAAACACGTTTAAAGTCTTTTTTGTTTCCTGTTGTCAGTTGAGGCATCAACAAATTTCTATCCCGGACTCTAAGAACATTTGATCGACACTTTCTCAGGCTGAATCACACCTAAACATTAGATGACTGTTTCCTGATTCGTCTATTTCCAACTAAATGCAGCAACAACCTAAACCTTATGAGTGACCTGCAGAGACCACCGATGGGCAATTCAAACGGACATATTTAAGGACACAGACACTGTTGGATCATGACTGCATGTCTGACAATACTGTAGTGTCTATGGCCAGCTTTTATAGGGACAAAATCTAAATGTGAATGCTGAGATTAACTACAACAAAAACCATGAGGTCTCTGTGAGACTTGATTACTTTTACTGTTAATGACTCACAGTCTAACACATCCACAACATACATTGGCCAACAATTATTCAACATGTTCTGGTGACAGAACGCTCTGCAGTTTCACAAGAGTGTTCTAGGGTCGCGGTCTCTGGAGTGACTGCATTGCACAAGAGTTTATTTTATAATGCCTTTATTGGGGAGGGAGGGGGGTCATTTCTTGGAAATTGTGTTTAATGTGAAATCAAAATAACAGAAATACACAAAGGGAAACAATGGTCAATTATAGAGCTAATGAGAAACAGATGCACACTGCTGAATGCTTAGTCTACAGTACTCTGGCTGTCTTAGTTCATAGAACTCTTGTCCGCAGCCTCTGAGGGGCTCTCTCTCGTCTTCCAGATAATTGTCTTTTGTTTTAGGGAAGTAGGTGGCAGAACATTTCCTCTGGTAATGCCTGTCCATAGATTTTAGATGAATCAGCATGTGAAGAGCATATGCAAGGACTAGTAGAAGGATAAGTGACATGACTAGGCCCATAAGAATAGCTGGAGAAAAGTAAGTTGTACAGTCTTTGGCGTAAGAAAACTCTCCTTCTTCGATGTTAAATCCTTGTATCTGCAATACAAAATGTGCATCAAAGTAATATATTTATACAGGCACTGATCAACAGAAAGTACAGATGATCTTACAGTATATGGGGGGAATTTATCACAGCAATTGCGAGTGTTTGAAGTTGCATATGGTCGCATGGGATATATTTGCGCCAGATTTATGTTGCTAGTGTAATGTTGTTCATAAATGAGGTTAAATAGACTCCAGGAAAAAAAGACTCCTTATGATGCACCTTATGACGCTATCTGACACTTTATTAAATATATCAATGGGATTTTGATGTTCGATTCCCTGAGTGTGTGCCGGTGAAATATTTGAATTTACCATTGATGTTTGCACAGTATGTTTGAGTGTAGTCATCCTGAGCACCACAGATGCCTTTTGAACTGTAAGACCCAGTGGCGGACCTAGGGAACAAAGGGCCCTGGTGCAAGATCCACCCATATCCCCTGTAGCAACCACAAAAAAAAGTTGGAAAAATGGCATTGCTGTATAAAGTACAGCTGAGATTTGTAGTCCTCTATAGAGGGTGCCATTCTGCATTGCTGCAATGCAGAATGGCACCTGCTATATAGAACTACAAGTACCAGCAGTACTTTACACAGCATTGCCATCAATTGGGCTACAAAAAATAATAATTGTATTTAATAACTTACCTTTGCTTCTTCTGGCTGTTTTCTGGTGGGTGAAGCTGCAGAAAACCACCCCAGTGTGTGTGTGTGTCCATCTCAGACAGCGCGCCCGTGCACTCAGACGGCTGTTTGCTGGATCCTCACGACCGAGGCCCAGGGCTGCCCCCTGTAGTGCCTGCCGGCTTTTTTTTATTCTCGGCTTCCCTCCACAGCATCAGGCGGCCGGGTCTTTGAGGGGGCCTGCCAGCCGCCGAATACCAATGTGATCAACGGACACTCCCGGCGCAGAGATGGGGGGGCCCGCCGCATACCGATCAGATGGTAACCGGCGGCTGGACATCGACGGGTCCCCCCATCTCTGCACCGGGGCTGTGTTTGAATTGATACTGGGCCCCCCCTATAGGCTCAGGCCCCGGTGCAGTCACACCAGCCGCACCGGCGGTAGTTCCGCCACTGGTAAGACCATAGGAGTGCGGATGCTACTCGGATTTTGCTCCAGGAAAAAAGCTTAACTGTCGCTTCTTGAAGAAGTGGTCATGGGGACTTCTTAAGTTGTGATTGTTTTGTTAGGTAATGCTTCAGTTTCAGACAGCCGCAGAACAAGTGCAGATGAAAATAGTTGCGAACTTTCGCAACACACGCGCAAAAACACGCACAATTGGAAAAATAGTGCAAGCTCTGGTCAAAACAGGTACACAGGGAGTCTTCTAACTGCAATGTATATGTGCAAAATGTTTGTTCCTGTATGTGGTCACTTCTTCTCTGCATGTCACACCTGAGCAAGCTGAAAGTGACATTAAAGCAAACATGTTTTTAAGCTATTTTAAATGCTGAGGAAATCACTTACAATGGATGCTGCTCCAAGTTTTAGTTTTCTAAAGAATCAGCTCTTCCACATAGCACTGATCCTGATATCCTGCTTTAGAGTGACTCCTTTCCCTTGCAAGGTCCTGGATGTAGGTCCGTATGCCATACGTCCTTGGCAGCGAAAGGGTTAATACTTCTTTACAGTGTATTTCCACTTTTGCAGTCAAATTTGAGAAACAGTCGCAAAAAATTGTATAAAAAATTAATTTCAGTACAGCGTTGCATGACTGAATAAATGTCAAAGTATCGCAGCATTGAATACTGAAAAATGGCCTGGCCAGGAAGGGGGTTAGCACCCCTGTCTTCAAGTGGTTAAAGCTTGGCATGCTTGTATGTATGGGTTGAAGGAATTTATGTACATGGACACATATTGTATGTTTATATTGGGTATTATTTAAAGGACACAAACGAATGCTTGCATTTTGTTATATGTAATATAAATGTGCATTAGGGTGTATATACACAAAGATAAAGCAAACAATATAGGGTATATATTTATTTTATTCAGGGCATATTGAAAACACTATTTATCATTTGCAAAGATAAGAATGCTGCTAGATTGAGGCTCAATTATGTAGCTTTATTAGGCCGTTTAGTGCAGAGTCATATCTAATATATTATATAACAATGACCAGGAGAATGCTGAACTCTTTTAGGCACCATGGAGTATGATCACCTAAGCTGGCTGCAAAGGACTGCATGTCTCTGGACACACCACACATTGCGTGATTGGCATTCTTACCATAAGATGCAGCCAAGGAGCATAGGAAATAGTGACCTCTCCAGACACCACCTGGCCAACACCAACTGGTCAACTGGTAGTTGTCGGAAGAAGCAATCAGCTGAGTTGGATTTGCTCAGCTGATTGCTATCTCTTGAACCAAGTCAGTGATAGAATATGTTTTTCTGCTTTCATTCTCCTTCAGGGCTTGTTTACATCATCTCCAGACCAGATCTGGATTCTTTTATTGCGAATGCAGGGGTGCGCGTTTTAACTCGTTTTTGACGCATTCATGTGCATTGTTTTTTTAAGTATGCAGATTATGTCTCTAAGGTCATTTGCTGCTTCTTTTCAGCTTTTCATTTGTTTGTGACCTTCACAGGATTTGAGCAAACATGGAGCCCTGGAAGGCAGGCATTGTCTTGGCACTGTGTCTGATAACCCTCACACTACATACTCAGTGGAGAAGGTGTTATTGGGTGCACCCACTTCTGTGTGAAAGGGAATCAAAGGGTCAGTTTGGAGGACACAGAGGACACAACCAAGGTCATCAATGTGCAGGTGAAAGCGCCCCTTTTCCATAAAGGAAGTGTGCAATGTTGATTAGGTCATCAAAGGTGACCAGAAGTGGGTTTTTTTTGCTCCAGTCCGCTTGTCTGCGCTTATAAGCGTTTTGTCACGTTCAATTGCATTCCAGACCAGAAAAAATCGTGCCCGCAGTGCTATTTTTTAAAGCACTGGAACTGACTGCCCTGGTGGGAACTACCGCCCTAAATTACCTTAGGAATACATGGTGATGCGTTTCTGGTGCATTTAAAAAACGTGATGGTGGAAACAAGCCCTCAAAGGCACAAGCATGACCACTAAGGGCATCCAAGGACATGTGTTTTTGTAAAAAAGAACTTAAGCGGTCAAACTGCACTTCTGACTGCAGTCTTACCAAGATTACCCTCCAACTATCATTTTTCCAGTGCAGGTTACAAAATTCCGGCTACTACAGGTTTGATTGCTATAGAAAACTGCCTTGTTAAGCCATTTCCCTACTTTTGTAGACCTGCAACAGGGATAAGTAATCTACACATACAGTATGTCCTATTGTACAGTAAAAGGCAAAGGAGGATTCAGACTGCAGAAGCAATCAAGGTACTAAGACGTGAAAGCAATAGCAGTAATGTCTGCCATTTGTGACATCATTAAAATTCAACTGAAGCGTAGACATGTGCATTTGGATTCGGGTGAACTTGTTGAATCACGGAATTCCATTGATTCTGCAGTTTGTCCGAATCCAAAATAAGAAATTATTATATGCCCGAATATCCCAATAACTATAATCGGTCATATATTAATTAGTTTTGTATGGGCACCGCCATCCTGCTGCGTTCAAGATGGCGGTGCCCATACATGTGTATCATGTATACCTGCACATGCACAGAATGTGGTGTTGGCCAATATGGCCGCCACGGTTTTTTTAAATGTGCACTTTGGATTCGGAGGCAAGGTTTTTCCCTTTTCATTTGTTTGGTCTGAAGCAAATTTTTATGCTGTACACAAAGAATGAACACATGACTACTGAAGCTAAAACTTTTTTTTAGCTTTGGATAGAGCAGTGATGGCGAACCTTGGCACTCCAGCTGTTTTAGAACTACAAGTCCCATGAGGCATTGCAAGGCTCTGACAGCCACAGACATAACTCCCAGAGGCAGATGCATCTTGGGATTTGTAGTTTTGGCACAGCTGGAGTGCCAAGGTTCGCCACCACTGGGATAGAGTATAGGGGGTTAGAACACATCAGGTTTTTACTACTATCCCTGTCTTTGTTAAGGTGCCCATACACTTTACAACCCTCGCAAGACTTTTATCTAGCGAGGATTATAAAGTACTTAAAAAAACGTACGATCTGCCCATCTTGGACAGGCAGATCGTACCTGCGATCATAGCAAAGCCGATGACTGCAATGCTGAACGGCAGTGTGCGCGTGCGCTCACCGGCCCGTTCGGCAGTGATCTCTCGATCATGTTAAAAACCAGCTGAAAATCGTACGATTCTCAGCTGGTTTTCCAACATGCTTGATATACAAAAGTCGTGCGACCATACATTAGAAACGGTCTCACGCCTTCCATACACTGCACGATTCTCGTACGATCGTGCGATTTCCCGCGATTCTTGTACGAGAATCGTGCAGTGTATGGGCACCTTTAGGGAGATTCACCCTCTCTATTCATCTTTGTGAATGTTATCAGTGGAAGAAAATTGATTTTTCTTTATTTATATAGCGCAGATAATGTTATGCCTCACTTTTACATAGTGCACGTTCACATGAGTCCCTGCCCTCAAAGAGTTTACAATATAAGGTCCCTATTGTACGTGTATACAGGGCTAATTTAGACAGGAGCCAAATAAACCTTCCAGCATGTCTTTGGAGTGTGGGAGGAAATCGGAGTACACCCATGCAAGCACAGGGAGAAAATAAAAACACCTTGCAGATAGTGTCCTAATCAGGATTCAAACTGATTAGGTCACTATCTCCAGTGCTGCAAGGCAGGAGTGCTAACCACTAAGCCACTGTGCTTAGTAGCACAATCCCACATTTTGGGTTGTCGTCATAACAGGAAGAGATGGGAAATCTTCCAGTTGGGATTCTAGTTCGAAATCTGCCCAGTGGGACACAGATAGCAAAAAAAAAGCTGACAAGGGTTATAACCCTCCCCCCTAAAGATGGCCATACACCGTACAACCATTGTACAACTTTTTTATCCAGACATCTCACCTCGTTCAATTTTTGTTCAAACAGCCTGTCATGCACAGATTAATGTAGTTTGCAATTAACGTTCGTCAGCACCACCAACTGGCCAATTTTTGTCGAAAGAACAGATTTTCATTTGAGCATGTGCAGTTTTCATCTTGAGATTTTTGTTGTACAAAAACACCACCAACCCCTTGATTTCCTTCCAAATAGATGAAAGTTTTCTAGCCTGCTTGAAAGACGAAAATCTGACAGCTGTACAGTAATTACGGTTGTGCACTTCCCACCAACTGGCAGATTTTCGGACGAAAATGTGATCGCAGACAAAAATCGGCAGATAATTGTAAGGTGTACGGGCACCTTTACTCTATTCAAAACTGGAAAAAAATGTTTGGGCTTCAGTTCTACTTTTATCTAAAACCCACAAGCCTTTTAGCTTGTACAAGAAAGTACATAAAATCCTACGTTACTTTTTATTCATATTCTTCTTCTTCTGTATACACTGGTGTTCTGGTTAAAATAAATCATAGCTGTCTGCCAACCTAATCATATTTGTTACCTGAAAATCCAGGAAGGTGACATCCCAGAGTGCCGAGTTGTTATCTTCACAGCTGGGAACTAACAGAGCATCGTATTTTTGCAGGCTGCTCACATGCTGACAGTGGTAAGAATAGCTGATTGGAGCAAATATTTTGGTGCTGTTGAACGTTGCTTGCACAGTATGGTTGAAGAGGATCTGAACGCTTTGTAATTTATACCAATTCTGGACCGAAAGTTTGTAGTAACTTTTCACCAGTAAAAATCTTGAAAGATAAAAATAGAAAAAACATCCTTGAACACAAAACATACAAAGACACCATAATATATTAGACAAATGAGTCTTTAGAAAGAAACAACCCCTCTGCCAAAATTGCAGTTCTCCCACAAACGCAGGTGACATTCTTAGAACTGATGTGTATCTATTGGCTAGGATCAGTCAGGCTGCATTCACACACTAGCGGTTTTCCGCGCGCATACGGCCGTACAATATGCGCGGAACCGCGCTAATCATAAAGAAAAATGCATTGCAATGTGCCTTGTTCAGACTATTGTGGCAGCCGTTGGGTACAATACCGCGGTTCCCACAAAATAGTACAAGCACGATTTTATAGGAGGGTTACGCCCATTCTGGCTATAGTAATGGCTGCAAAGGCACGGAATCCGCGCGCATGTTATTGTTTATGCGGTTTCATTACACGCAGTCTTCTGTGAGAGAAACTGCTACTGATGTGTGTGAATGGAGCCTAAAACTACTATTTGCAATACGCTGCACATGAGACCAATGCAATACTGAAATTAATGTTTCAAACCTGATTTTTCTTTCCAACAATTCTGCCGCTACTCTGTTTACCTACTTCCAGAGCCATTGTTTCTAGCTAATAAGCAGTTGCTGTTGAAAGGTACTAAAATTATCATTGCAGTGTCTACATAGGGTCATATGAAAGTTCAACCTGCTATAGAGGCTTATAACGTATGAAGTCATGCATACTTTACTCTTGCCATCTCATCAGTATATATATGGAGCCATGTTGCAGGAATACAGTAGTTGCTGGACTAAAGCTGTCCACTGACTTCAGGAGAAGGTCAGACATGCAGGCACATTTTAGGCCACTGTGAGCAATATTTTACACATGTCCAGTAGTGTGAGATTGTTGCTGGATCTAGCCAAATTCTACTAGATCACCTACTGATCATCTCATTTCATGCCACCTTAAAGGAGAACTAAGGGGTCAGTGTTTTTCCCCATAGTTGTCCTAAGGGTCACAGGAGGCCATAAACTAGTGTCCTCCCATGACCCAAAGCTCAGTATATTGCGAGCTACAGCTCGCGGTATACTGAGGCCGCCGCAGCCGGGATGGACTCTGATATTACTGTCGAGATTCACCCAGCTGCATGATTGACAGCTGGCTCTGCCTATCTAGAGGCAGAGCCAGCTGTACCAGCCCCCTCCATTGTCCATTCCGCCAGTCAGTGCTGGAGGATCGGAGCGGGGAGGTGGGAATTCCTGCAGAGAGATGATCGAGAAGTGAGAGAACACATACCGTCGTTCGCTCACTTCTACCCCGATCTATTGAGCCGACGTGTGACAGTTCCATTGTCACACGTCGGCTCGAACTATGAGGTTGAGTGAAAATCACTCACCTCCTCGTTCTCCTTTAAAGTGTATTTAAAATTTAAAAAAAATATTTATTACTTCTGGGTAGAGTAGGAATAGATTAGACATTGGGACATTTATTCCAGCAACAACAATGTAAGATGCTATTTTACCTCACTTTTGAGAGTTTTCACCTCATTTCCTGTTGTGTCTACTAGACAGGGAAAAGTCTTTCGCACTCCAAGGACCATTTCAGTCAATGTTCTTTATTGACAAAAGAATTGTCACATCTTATAGCAACGTTTCAGAACCATATAGGTCCCTTCTTCAGGCAAAGTGTCTTTTACGTGATATTATCTACTACGTGATACTGATCTGCAGAGGCATCTGCTGTCATCTCAGCACCCTCCCATTATCTTGGGTTATATCCGTCAGGCGTGCAATGGGATCTACTTGAATTACTACTGGACAAGGAAACCTCCACACGGGACAGAGATGGACCCACTAGAGTTTTATCCATTCCCTACTCTAAAAACATAGTTTTGGTTTGATAAATACTTTACACCTAGAGAGTTACTTGATTGTATTTGAAAACAGAGGGGTCTGCAATAAAGAAAAATGTTTTCTCCTTAGATGGACATAATGTGAAATGTAAGAAATTGTTGGAAAACAAGAAAGAGCTTTACACATGGAGGAACAATATAACAGCAGTTCACTTTTTTTGGCAGTAAAATGTCGTGGCAAGCATTTCCAGCAATACAAACTCCAAGAAATACTAATTTATATGACATAAAATTAATTAAATATTGAGTTGTTATAAGATTGGCAGAATCTGTACTCTCAAGTCCAATAATAATATCACAGCCCAAAACCCATACAAAACAAAACTGGCAGTTAGCTGCTCATTAAAGCTTGCTGTGCTACAACTGAAATCACTGTAGGTCAAATGTCAAGGAAATATGATGAATATTGCCCCAAATTCTTCACAAGTAAAAAAAATTGATTTTGCTAGTTATATGTGGTAGGAAAAAGACCTATAAAAACTATTCAAGTCCTGGTTTAATCAGTTTTTCCAGGCAGAATTTGTACCCAGGTATGTAAATACCAATGGAGCAAAGGATTCAACCTTTCTAATTCCCACAGGGCTGAGCTGCCACATTAGCAGAGCCACTGTGCTGAATTTGAGAAGTATCTGCTGAAGTCAGCAGAAGTATCTCAATGTATTAGAATAAATGTGAAATCTCTTAATACACATAAGGGATGACGGTGACATCCAGGGCTGTCCCTATATTAAGGCTGTCTGAGGCTCTTGCCTCTGGGGGCATCTCTATGGGTCACATGTAGGGGCAGCAAGCAGAGCAACATGGCAGTGTGTTTGCAGTGTGCCTGCTGCCACCTTTCCGGCCAGAGCGCAACACATCTCTCCACCCAGCTCTTAGCAACCTGGGACACTCTGGCCAGCATCCAGTCAAGCTCCTGGCAACCAGCGATGTTACTGTCTGCTAGGAGATCCGTGGGACTGTGGCCAGGTCATCTCAGGTTACTAAGAGCTGGGTGGGGAGATACAGAGTCCTCTCTGCATCATTCTCCAAACCCTCCACCTACTGATTGTGCACCATCCAGCAAATCCACCTACCACCCCTTTTGTTACAGTCAGCAGGGTGGATTTGGATAAGGGACCCCACTGTATCCTTCAACAGTCTTCAACTGTACCATAAAAAGTGGTGTCACCATCCTAACTGTTCTGTCTGGTAGGGACAGAAAAACAAATAATTTGTAAGTGCCTATGTTTTACCTGGTACCATGCCTTCCCTGTACACCAGAGCTTAGACGTGGGGAGGGAAAAGAAGCACAAGGGGCCAATCGAGCGTGCTGCAGTGTAAGGAGCTTGCCGATAGGAGGAGAGATCTGAGGGATGAGCTGATTAGTGTGCTGCTTCTGCTTTCACTGTTTAGTCACAAAGTGGGGACAAGAAGTAGACCGGTAAGTGAAAGTAAAACTGCAGCAGAGAAAGATCAGGTCCCCTTCTCTTCCAGGCAGAGCTGCACTGTGTGCCATGGAGATGTTGAAATCTCAGCACTTGATGGAAAGACATACAAATAATATAGCAGGTAAAATAATACATAAATATGTATGTCATCTGTTTATTTAACTGTTTGCCTGGAGTTCAGATTTAAGTCTAACTTTAATGTCTACACCCTTGCACTATTTCTGTTCAATAAATGCCATAAACAGTTGAGCGATAGGAAAAAAGGAAACTTCAGTTTATTTCACTCCTGTAGGGAGGTTTTGATACAAGATTCTCACATTAAACATCACATACATTAGAACACAATATACATGATTTTATAAACAATCATGATATATTACAATAATTAACAGTATAAGTATTTTTTACTGAATCACAATGATTGAATATCTGAAGTTGTAAATTTACATTAACATTAGCATAATTATTATTAATATTAGCAATATTATTATTATTATTATACAGGATGTATATAGCGCCAACGGTTTTTGCAGCCCTTTAAAAACTGCAATGTTAATTTTGTCTATATCTTTTCTTCTGTATTTACAAAACCTACCTTAAAGTAAGTTCCTTCTTACGTGCAACATTACGAAATATCAATGAAAGTCTACAAAGGAAAAGAGAAAGGAATTTTAATGCATAGCTTAATGCCCATAGTCCCACTTTAATTTCTGGAAATATGTATCTAATAATTAATCTTTATCATACAAAAATATAAAACCACTTATTCTTATATAGCAGATCCTATAAATTTATAGTTTAGGTACTATTTTCCACTGAACTTTTTTTTTAAACTTTATTCTCCTTTATATATACAGTATATATTCTGTTTTTTTTTTTAAAGTTTTTACATGACGTGACATTTTAATAAATAAAAATACATATATAAAATAAATATATATAATATTTTTTTTTATATTTGACAGTCTAAACATTTATTTGTTTACATTTTTAGCATGGTATAGTTTATTGTATTCTGTGCAAAAAGTATAGGGTACCAGTGGGACATCACTATTGCTTGCCAAATGGCCAACTCTCCACACTTCCTCCACTTCCAGATGTTTAAAACAAAGATCTACCGCTTCAGACTAGAGAATGTGCTGTAAAAAAGTTTTCTGTGAATGTGCAGCGAATATTATAATTGCCAAATTATACATGAGGTGAATAGAACATTAAGAACCATTGCCACTGAAGAACAGATGTTGATGAATGTTGCTTGATGTAGTGATTGTTGGTGGTTGTGAGCTATTGCATTGTGTTTGTGAAGAAGAACATTTTGCACATATCATCAATTAACAGAACATTATTTCATACTTGCTTACGTGGTATTTTCTTCATTACAGCTTGAGTCCTCCAGGTCCACAGAATCATACAGACTGAAGTTCATATTTGTCATATCCAGCTGAGTCTGGTTCTTGAATTTGATTATAATTCTCTTAAATCCAAAAAGAATACAAGTGGTGCCATCTATCGTGATATTGGCAGTGTTCCTGGGAAGCAAGTTATTTTCATGGATCGCTTCTTTGGTCATTGTCTCCTTTTTTACTATGTTGTAATATAATTCCTGTATTATAAAATAATATGTATTACTGGCAACATAAATGTGTCAAATGTTTACACTACACTGAAACTGCGCTGTATGTTCAGGATTGTGCTAGCCAACCAACTACAAATAAATGAGCTGTAACACACCTCACCACAAGGTTTGTTTTGTACGTTGTGGTGTGCTGCATTGCAGTGCAGGTGCATTGTAGAAGTGCGTTACAGTGCAACACACTGGTGTTAACCAGACTTCAATGGGAATCCCACCAGCTGGGGAAATTTGCACCTGTGATGGCAACTATTCCAAAAGTAGCAGGCCCCCAAAAAAGATATTGCTTATCTAAGCTGGGTGGAGCCTGTCTAAATATGGTCTAATCTCTGGTAAGATGGAAAGATGTGCATAGCTTAATGTGTCCTGGTATTTTGTTTTCAAAATTTATAAGGTATGCCAATCTGCTCTCACTTGAATAAAGTGCAGGCTTCAGATAGATCCGAATTTGTACATACTCCTTATTAGCAAGAGCCACAGGAGGCAAAGCAGCGAACATAGCACTGTCACAACTGCCTGTGGGAATTGGGACTGGTGAGTCATTTCTGTGGCACCATGATGGAATCCTTCCATGTGGGCTTTATGGTGTTCCTATACTGAGGGAATATGAGGCTTCCATTGCTGGCCCCTTTTTAAAAATGCTACTTGCCTGGCTTCAGTAATCTCTGGATCACTTGACCTTGAACAAGCATGCAGATAAGAAAGTCAGAGTTGCACACTTGTTAAGATGCTGTGCCTACTTGCAAACTCTTAGGTCCATTGAATCACAATGGCAGTTTCCATAGTCCCTCAGTACAAGTTTAAGTTAAAGTCATAACCCATGGTGTACCTAGCATATTTGACACCCAGGGCAGATTATTTTTTTATATATTATTATATTATTTTATAGAACTCACCCACCCCCGTTCCCCACTCCTCCATATATGAAAAAAATATAGATAATAACAAAAATGTAAGGACTTAAAGCAGCGCACCAAGTGCAAAGTGGTAAAATATAGTGGTGTGGTTTGATAGTGATGGGCCTGCAGGGGATTACATTACAGTTGTATGGTTCTGACAATAGATGGGCCACAAATGGACCAGGAAACAGACCGCCAATTATTATAATACACAAGCAATTATTGGGCAATCATTAATACACAAAGGGAACAAACAGCCAATCATGACAGTATGTGGGCAGAAAATGGGCAGATGTGACAATATGCAGGCAACAAACGGGCAATAGGGACAATATACAGGCAGATCCCCCAGTACTAATTCAGACAACCAACCCTTAGCCCAAAAAGACTCCCCCCTGGAAAAATTTATCTCCTCCTAGGATGAATCTGTCACCCCCTACCCCAGCAAAGATGTCCCCCAAAACACTTTCCAGACTTCAGATGCAGATCAGTGCCAGGCACAGGGCAATGGGAAGTCCTCCTAGGTTTTGTGTCATGTGACAGAGTAGACACATGTTTTTTTCCCCAAAGCCATTTAATATACACCTCAATTTAATCTAATTTACAGTTGTAAAATGAATTTATGTTTTTAAAAATGTATAATCTTTTCAATGGGGGGAATTAAGCAAAACCGGGTCAAACAGATTCTTGAGCAGCTGTCCATAATAACCAATCAGCTTCTCTGTTCAATTTGTTCAGTTAACCTTTGAAAAATGAAAGATAAAAGCTGATTGGTTGAAATGGACCACTACTCCGGATTCTGTCTGCTCCAGTTTTGATAATTTTCCAAACAAAGTTTATTTCCAATAAACATGTAAAAGACATATACTTGATGTAAATAATTGTATCTATCTGCCTATCTATCTACAGTCTGTATATATACAGTAAGTATGTGTGTATATATATTATACAAATATATAGAGATAGATATAGTACACCTACCCACCTTTTTCAGCCCTGCATGATAAAACTGTAAATCTTGTTCCATGTTGTGGATGTTGGGATACCCTGAAAAGATAAAAGGGGATACATTAAAACATATCCGTCTTACTACTTAAAGAACTGAATCGATTTGACAATTTGACATTCTGGGGGGAATTTATAAAAACTGGGGTAGACAAAATCTGGAGCAGTTGCCCATGGCAACCAATCAGCATCTATCTTTAGCTTACTCAAGTACGATTTGAAAATGAAAGATAGAAGCTGATTGGTTGCCATGCACATCTGCTCCAGATTTTGTCTGCTTCCATTTTGATAAATTCCCTCAATGTATTTAAGGTTGAACTCCAGGCACACATCTACATACACACATCTACATACACCATTGAATTACTTATATGGGAACGACTTACCTGCCAAAGGCTTTTAATTTCTGTCCATTCAGTTCTGACATTTACACAGCCCTACTCACAGGTATCCCTACACTATTCGCCACCTGAGGTGGGGGTGGGGGTGGTGCTGACGGTGGATGCTCGTTACAGGGGGTTGGGTGTTGGAGGCAGAGAGGGGCTGCAGAAGCATTGCTGGCTGGGTGGGGTGCTACCTCTGGGTCCTGGGGACAGGACGTCCAGCTCACTGATATCACTGAGAGCTGGGCAGGATGCCAGCCAGAGCGTCCCACTCAGCTTCTGGCAACCAGTGATGTCAGTAAACTGGGCGGGATAGCGCTTAGCAACCTGGGACCCCCACCCGTGACCAAATGAGATGCCGCCTGAGGCAACTGTCTCAGGCAGGCCCAATAAAGGGCAGGATAGCTAGGTCGCCACACATACATTTCAGGAGAATATTTCTTGTCAGCAAAGCACACACCTTTCACAGTCTAAGTGCTACTGTACAAGGGATTTAAAGAGGCTGATACCAAATCAAATTCAGGTACTTACAGAACTGCATATAAAACACATGTAATTTGTTTAATGAATACATACATGCATTAATTAAACATTTTGTATATCTGTTCCATTCAGCTTCAGGACAATTCAATTATTTACATGTTGTTGTCAATGGAACTTCAGGAATTTTAAGAGAAAATGCACATGCACTATTAGCTTTTCTTTGCTTTATTGTTACCTTCCAAAGCAAATGTGCCCAGATTTGAGTGTTATCCCATAGCAGCCAAGGAGATATTTAACATCATGGTTTTCCTTCTCTTTCCAATGATGTATAGAAATGACAATAACATGCTCTCTGCAGCAACAATCTCTTATTCTTGTTTGTAAACTGTAGAAGGGATTGTGTAGATGCTCATATATATATATATACAGTATATAGATAATGTAATGTCTTCCTTACATTGTAAAGCGCTGCGCAAACTGTTGGCGCTATATAAATACTATGTAATAATAATAATAATAGATATATCTATCTATCTATCTATCTATCTATCTATCTATCTATCTATCTATATACACTATATATACACACATGTGTGTATGTACTTTTGTGTACACATTTTTGGGTATGAGCAGCACATAAGTAACAATGACAGTTATATCCTGTCCTATAAGGGCCTTGTACTGCTCAAGGCCTACAGAAATAAAAGGAAGCAGTAAATGTTAGAGAGCCTGGTATATCAATTATTACTGACCTTTCTCTGTCAGCAAAGTAAACCCTGAATACATCCCCAGGAGTGTTTTCTACTGTTATGTAAATAAATATTAATTAAATGGAATATTTTAAATGATTTGTTTAAAGGAGAACTATGAGATGAGTGATTTCCACTCACCTCATAGTTCTAGCCGACCTGTGACAATGAGACTGTCACAGGTCGGCTCAGTAGATCGGGAGGTGAGCGAACACATACCAGGTTCGCTCACCTCTCGATCCTGTCATGGCTCTCTGCCGTGACAGGGGGAGGGCTGGATTCCCCTCTCCGATCTGCCAGCGCTGACTGGCGGAACGGACGGGGGAGGGGGCGGGTACAGCTGGCTCTGCCTCTAGATAGGCAGAGCCAGCTGTCACTCACGCAGCTGGGCAGATCCCGCCATCTACGTCGGGATCCGCTCCAGCTGCAGCATCTCTGTATACCGCGAGCTGTAGATCGCGGTATACTGAGCTTAGGGTAACGGGAGGACGCTAGTTTGTGTCCTCCCGTTACCCTAAGGAGAACTATGGGGAAAAACACTGACCCCATAGTTCTCCTTTAAGGAAACCTCCACTATATAACATATAAACAAAACAAAAACATTATAATAAAACATATAACAAAGGCATTTTTGCAGTGGAATGTTATTATAAAATACAATTCTTTTTCCACCTGTAGCTTCTGTGAATTTCAGAAAAGGCAAACATGTCAAATGTGGCTTCCTTCAATATGGAACACTGGAGGTGTTTTGTATAATGTAGGTGTACTAATTCCCCCAAAAGTGTTATTTCCTGCATAAGTGCCTGACTTACTGCTTACTGAAGAGGTCTGCATTGCACAGGCTCATGTCAACAGTCGTAGTTTTCCCATGTTTGAAACACATATCACAAGCAGGTCAGCAGAATTCCATTTACTTTAATTAAGCAGTACACATTGCAGTTCAAAGGATGTATTTGATCTACCTTGCTTTGTTTTCTTTGACAGAAAGTGTCTATTAAGGTGCATTTGAACTGCAGGCAAAGCAAGTCAAACGCAGCCTTTTATTATCAAACACGGCCGTTTCCATTTTAATGCAGTTGCATGCATTGAGGTGAAAAACGCAACATTTGACTAGAACGCCTATTAAACGCACCCAAACAACAGAGGTTTTATTCGGGTTGGACATTTGCTAGGGCAATTCCTTGTTTAAAGGGATGCAGGCAATGCATTTTTTTTATAGTTTTAAAAACGTAAAAACTTTGCAATGTTTTTAGTTCGTATGGTGGGAATGTATTTTCTCAACAAAACTACACTCTTAATATGAAGCATCTGATAAAAATGATCATTTACATGCAAAGCTTTAGATTAGTCTGATTGTTTTGGGATATCTCTGCACAATAAACTTACCATAACGCCAAGCGAATTCTTCACCTGAAGCTGACTGCAAATTATACCTGCCAAAAAAACATAAAAGAATACGATCATCAATATATGTATATATTGTTTGTGCTGTTTAAGGAGTACACAGGGTATACACAACCTTGTCAGAAAATACCTACAGTATAGACAAAGCATTGTACACATCTGTTCTATGCAGATAGCAACTATAGAATGGTACAGTTTTAACCTTGGTGAGCTCTATCCAACCTCCTACATATTACTGACTGAACTTGGCATTGTTTTGACTCATTGACTTTAGCTTTTGATCTGCAGACCATTTGCCACGTTTGTTTTATTTTGTGCCATTAAACAGCAATTATACAGATACTGTAGAGTTAAAAATACGCGATTGAGAGGTTCTGTAAGATCCACTTTATCCATCTTACTTTTACAGTAAGATGGTGATAGACGGTTACATACTATACATGAATCCCCTTCTTGGGTCCGGTTACAAAAAAACAGCATAGGGTCCGGTTACAAAAAAACAGCATAGGAATGAATAGCTAAATTGCTATTGGCTTTTTCAATTTGCAATAGCCAATAGCAAGCTGGCTATTGCACCCGCCCTCTGCTGTTGTCAATCAGCAGAAGAGGACCTGATGGGGAACTTTAGGTCCACCTCTGCTGATTGACAACAGCAGTGGGCGGGTGCAATAGCATGTCAGCTATTCATTCCTATGCTGTTTTTTTTTTTTTTCTCTGACTGATGGCGGCCCCAGATGTCAGAAAAAACAAACAGCAGGGAAAGGTTTACTCTGATAGATCAAGCAGAGTAAACCTTTCCGGGAGAAAATGTTTCTCTCGCTGGGGCGGCAGGTAGTCGCTATCTAATAGCGGGAGACTCCCGGAACATCCGGGAGAGTTGGGATGTCTGGTGTTGTATCGCACACTGCCGGAACTGTCACTGTTTACATATTGTTTTTGTAATATGTAATTTACAATTCCGGTCCGGTGCGGTACAAAGCAGGTAACCGCTAGAAAACTGGTGGTTTGAAGAATGCAGTTAAATAAGACCCATTCATACACCTGTGTACTGCAGCAGAGGAGGCTACCACAAGGACACATAGAAGATAGTTGTTTTCTATGTGTCCCATTCACACCACAACGCAGTGGGTGGTGCCCTGCGATAAAATGCAAACACGCTACGTTTTATCACTGCACACTGGTTGGCATCACAGGTCGATAACAGTGCGGTGCACCACCCTGCCGTGCAGGGACCTGAATTGAGTGCACACATTGTACACTGCACATAAAGTTTTTTTTTTTTAAATGTAAACAGTGATAGCTCCAGCAATGTGCGATACAACACACACTACTGGAGCTGCCACAATGCAGTAGGCCGTCTGCTGCAACGCTTTCAGCGGACAGGCTAGTGTGAACGTTCCTTAACTTTACCCATCTTTGTGTACTATTTACAGCTTTCACAAATCCTGGGTCCTGTCCTTCAGAAACTCATCACTCTCTGGCCTTGGAACTTTACCTGAATACAATTACTTTGTACAGTAAACTCTGCTATCCGGAATTCAACTAACCAGAATGCTCATCTAACCAGAAAAAAAAATCCTGTGCACTCACTGTTTTGCTGATCTGCGGCATGTATTATCCTGGAAACGATTGTGTGTTTATTTGTCTTAATTTGTTTTACGTGTGTCTATCTGTCTTAATTTGCTTTCGATTACTGCATTTCAATATTAATATGAAGTCAATACAGAGTTTATGTCATGGTATGGTATAGTATGGGGTATGGCATTAGTTAGATCTATTTTTAATAGTAACTCTCAAGCAACCAGGAACTACATTTATCCGGAATCTACCAATCCCTGTGGATGTCGGATAACGGTGAGTTTACTGTATCATGCTATTTCTGAATACTAGATTTTCATAAATCCAGATGCAAACCGTGCCCCCTTGTTCTTTGCAAAAACAAGGGGGAACTCCTTGAGCCGGCTAAACGCTTCCAATCATATCATCATTAAAACAATATTAAATGTAAACTGACATTAAAGTT